CAGAGGCGAAAGGGAGATAGCAGAAGCGACGCCTGACCTTGAACACAAAGCGCCGGTTCTTCTTTTCCTTGGAGAATGCTGTGCGAATTTCATAGCTAGGGAGAGGGATGCTGCCCAAGACCATCTCTTCTCGGCTGTCTGGAAGACACAATGTCGCACCCAAAGCATACAGGGATTAACTTGGTGCTCTGCCAGGGCTCCTCCCTGCAGTCTCCTCAGGAAACAAAAGGAGGGGATGGGGGGAACATCTTGGTGTAGTGGTTAAGTGTGTGGACTCTAATCTGGGAGAACCGGGTTTGATTCCCCACTCCTCCACTTGCACCTGCTGATGTGACCTTCGGTCAGTCATAAGCTCTGGCACAGCAGTCCTTGAAAAAGAGCCGTTTGTGTCAGAGCTCTCTCAGCCCCACCCACCTCACAGGGTGTCTGTTGTGGGAGGGGAAGGGAAAGGAGTTTGTAAGCCGCTCTGAGACTCCAAGTGAAGGGCGGGGTATAAATCCAATCTCTTCTTCTTCATCATCTTGATCCTGAATCGGAGGCCAGAACCCAACTATTTAGGGCTCTCTGTCCTCAGACTTCAGGCTACAGCCCTCTTTGACACCCCAGGGGCGTAGGAAGATCAGCACGGGCAGCAAGAGGCCTGGGGGGGTACCAACTGGAGAAAAAATGCCCTGTCCCTTTCTTAGAGGATCAACAAGATGTTATTTGCCACGTGAAGGGAGGGAAGGCAGCCTGGTACAGCCCCATCTTGATCTTGTCAGATCTCAGAAGCCGAGCCGGGTCAGTGCTTGGAGTGGGGAGGCCACCAAGGAAGACTCCGCAGAGGCAGGCCACGGCCAACCCCCTCTGCTTCTCTCTTGCCTTGGAATCCCCCTTGCTGGCTGCAGCTTGACGGCACTTTACACACACGCAGTTACCAGGTGCTGGCATTAGCCTCCATGCCATGCGGTGGCTCAGCTGCCCATTTCCACACATTCAGCCTCTATCAAAGAGACAGTTTTTCCTCCTGGACAGGTGGCAACTCTAACATTGGCTAGGTCTGCTATAAAGACTAGTCGGCCTGGCCATCTTCCCTGAGCTGCTCAGCACCGACCACTGACCCTGGGCTGAAGGACAGTCACTCCAGCCCTGCTTCCAGGTATGGCTGCCCTTAGCTCTTCCTGCTCCCAAACCCATCAATAAAACTCTCAAAGAGTGAATAGAAGCACACCTGAGTTCAGACGCCCTCTCTTTAGACTCGATGCTTTATCCTGAGGTGTGCCTAAAGAGAATCAGCCCCACGGGACATCTTTTCTCAGGGTCTTCTTCAACACTCCAGGGACAGTTACCCCCCAAAAGCAAGGACCAAAACTGTCCACAGAACAGGGAGGGCTGACCCAGGCATCATTGTTAAACCTGCCACTCACAAACCCTCCCTCTAGGAAGGAAACTAGAGACCTGCGGCCCTTTGAAAACTAGCAAAATGTTATTCATGTCTTATAGTGCATATTTCTGCGAGAAGCCTAAAAAGGAACCACAAGGGGGGGGGAGGAAGCCTAAATTACCTCGATAATAGAAGAGGCAGTAATTCGAAAGGACAAACCAACGCCGTTTCCAGAGCTTAAGACCAGAACTGTCCTGGGGAGATTTTAAAAAAAACACCAAGATTAAAAAGTACGGCAAAAGAGGCCATTACACGGGCAAAGGGACCCAGGAGACCTGGCTCCCAGCCACTGATCTGCTCCTAGACCTCCACAAAAGTCCTCCCTGCCAGTTTTTTACTGGCATATATCCTGGACAGCCCATGCCAGCCAGATCAGATCTGGATCTCATCCGATCTTGGAAGCCAAGCAGGGTCGGCCCTGGCTAGTATTTGGATGGGAGCCCTCCAAGGAATACCAGGGTCGTGACATGGAGACAGCCTATGGCGAACCACCTCTGAATGTCTCTTGCCTTGAAAACCCTACGGGGTCACCATAAATTAGCTGTGACTTGATGGCAAAACAACAATGACCAACCCAGCTGTTCAGAGACTTCGCAAAGCAGGACTTTTCTCATTCCCCCCTTCTGCTGCAGCCCACTGAATCCCCCATATTTTGTCCCAGGAGGTCACTGGGCCCTCGGGAACAGCACAAGGGGCAAAGTGGAGGTCTGCCGTGGGAAGGGAGTCTTCAGAAGTGTGCTGCTGGATTATGGTTTCCAGCCAACTGCTGGCCACCTCTGGGAGACTCAAGGCGGTGGGGACACGTAAAACGCCATGACTCAGGCAGTGTAACGTCATTTACGGCGCAAACCCAGAATTGCTGTCATTGTGTCAGGGCAGCATTTCCACTGAAACGCGATGACTTCGACTGTGGTGTTTCAGTGGAATCCTAGAGTACCTCAGGAGTGCAATGACATCATTTCCTGGTTCATGCCACAAGTGACATCGTGGCATCAGAGCAACAGTGATTTTTGCTGCATCTTTCCCCCACCACCCTACCGAGCGGTGCCAAGGGTTGGGGGCGGCCGGGCAGGGGGTGCTGGCAGCCTTAGGCTGGTTTAAGGTTGCCAACTTCAGGCTGGGAAAGTCCTGGAGATTTGGGGATGGAGCCTAGGGAGGGATCCCATTGTGGCATAATGCTGTAAGAGTCCACCGTCCAAAGCTGCCATTTCCCCCAGGAACTGATCCCTGCGGTCCGGGGATCAGTTGTAATCCCAGGAGATCTCCAGGTCCCACCTGGAGGTTGGCAACCCTAGCCTGGATACAGGCCATTATCTAGCAATGAAGGCTGAGAACAGCACACCAATGAGCATTGCTGTGCTTTATAAAACGTGCGTCAAAAGCAAACACATCCAGGCAAAACAACCATTTAGCTATGTCTAGCATCCCTTGGCACATTCTTGAGTGCCATAGAGGCCCACAGCCAAACTGGCTGAAACTAAAAGCTGCCTGTCCCCGTCAGTGTTCCCTCTAAGCTGAGTTAGTGTGAGCTAGCTCACAGTTTTTTAGCCTCCAGCTCACAAATCTTTGTCTTAGCTTAGGAAGAATGGCTCCAGAGCAAACTAATTTCTGCAGCAGCCAAATTGCTCGCTCACAAAGTAGAATTTTTGCTCACAAGACTCCAAAGCTTAGAGGAAACATTGGTCCCTGTGGCCTCCCACTGCTGCAAAAACGCCGCAAAGCAACTGTTGGTGCACAAAGACGCATCATCGAAGTCCTGCTCCCCATGAAGGAATCCTTTCCCCCACCCTTGGTGCCTTATCCTACAAGCTAAGGTGCACTCTTCCTTTCTCACCATCACTTACCTTTTTGTGAAGCCATCCCCGCATGATGACCGGCTGGTTGGGATCTCTCTTGATGGAATCTGACCTCTTTCCAAACGTGTGTACCTTCCGGACAGGCCGGGCTGAGTGTGGCTGTGAGAGGCAAAAGGATAGATGCTGAAAGTTTCTAAAAAATATTGGGAAGTTGTGGATCAATGGGGGTGTCGTCCCTTCTTCCTCTCCCCCTCCACCTGCCATTAGGGTAAGTTTAGATCACAGCTACACAATGGCTGCGGTCACACGGAACATTAGCCACGCAAGAGAGACGGAAGACAGGCGGATTTTCCAGGCGCGATCTCACCGGCACGTCTGGGAAGCGTAGCACTCCCGTGGCACAACCAAGGCTTCCTGCCGAAAACCCGCAGCAAAAAACTAGTACCTCGGAGGTACTAGTTTCCGGAAACCGTGGGGCAAGGGCGGGCGTCTGATCGCGTTTCCGGTGGCATCCGGCGCCCGCCCATGTCCCCTTGCGAAAAGGGTTTTTTTTCCCCCAAGTCTCCATGGATGCGCACACGCACCCAACGGAGCATGCGCATTCGTCGTGTACACAAAAAAAGAAAACCAGTTTGCCGCACCGCACGCTTTTTCGTTGCGCGCAGGCGTGTCCTGTGATCGGCACCTCTCCCTACCCACGGAACCTCCACGGAACCTCCACAGAACCTCCACAGGAGGTCTGATCGCTTAACCGCGCGTTAGTTTGCCCCGGGGCAAACAGCCCCGCTCCCCCCCCCCCGCAGTTTCCTGCCCATGTGACCGGAGCCAATATAATCAATACCTAAAGTTACCTTTCTCTGAAGGACCACCATTCATATATAATCGTGCCCACTTATTGAGATTATTCGATCAGATCAGCTCCAGGACCTCATCTGTTGGGGCAGGGCGGAGCCTTTTTTGTGGTGTCACCTCAGTTTTGGAAACACATTGGGCTGGTACGGTACCTGCTCAATTTCTGAGGCAACAGGCTAGACCTACTTGAACTCCAACCTCCTGAGGAATATGGAATGGTTTAAATGTCGCGAGCTGCCCTCTCTTTGCTGCTGCTTTAGCTCCTTATGATTTCTTATGGATCTTAGTAGGTTCTGTTTTAAAATGTGTTTTTATATATCTTTGTTGCATCGTATTTGGATATAAGCTGCAAGTTAGAAATCTTTAAAACTAATGTGTAAATAACAAAGCTGTCTATAAACATGTGCCCAATGACCAGAGGTGAATTTTTAAGAAATCAGCTGCAGGCCTCTAGGGACTAAGGCTTTTCTAAGCAAAGGCACAGCTAAGTGGTTAGCTCAGACACATCCCCCCCACACACACACACACACAATGCTGCAGATGATTAACAGATGTACACAGGGTTTGGGACGCTTGTAAAAATGTTTGTGGGCTAGTGTCTTTTTTGGAGTTATTTCCACAACTTAGGGTTGTCAGCCTCCAGGTGGGGCCTGGGGATCTCCCACTTTTCCAACTGCTCTCCAGCTGACAGAGATCAGCTCCCCTGAAGAAAATGGCTGCTTTGAAGGATGGACTCTATAGCATTGTACCATGCTGAGGTATATCCCCACCCCAAACCCCGCCTTCTCCTGGACCAACCCCCAAAGTCTCCAGGCATTTTCCAACCCAGACCTGGCAACCCTACCACAACTACGGCCGGCCTTCCGAGAGCGAGCGCGGGCCTCCGGACAGAGCGCGGCGTCCTCGGCCTCGGAGAGCCGCCCCGGGCGCCGAGGAAGCGCCGGGCAAAGAGCCGCATTCATTTTGCCCGGAAGCCGCATGCGGCTCGAGAGCCGCGTGTTCGCCACCCCTGTACTATAGGATTCTGGTTTTCTGGGCCCAGAATTTTTGTTGTTGTTTTTAAGAGGATAGAATTCACAGATGTCGGTGTAATATGCAACCTCCTGTACACTTGGGAGGAAATCTTTCCTGGTTAACAACCTCTGGTAAAAATTACCTCAAAAATGCTTTAAAATTGAGCAGAGTGTGAACATTTCTTGGCACATTTCTTGGTAAAGGTCAAGAGCATGAAACAAAGGATGCCATTCCCCAGTTGGGGGCGGGGGATCCCCCAGTGTTTCATGCTCCTGCCCGCCGCTGGCCAGATGGCTGATGGAGGGCAAATCCACGCCCCAACACGACATGCTGACGTCACACGGAAGTGACATCATCATGCCGGCGACACTGCATGGTGACGCTCTGGTTTTTGGACAAAACTCTATGGTTTGAGGGAGATTTTACCATAGAGTTTTGCCCAAAAAACCAGAACGTCGCCAACGTGATAACGTCACTTCCGCGTGATGTCAGCACACTGCGGCTGCTCCACCCCCACTCCTGGAAAGCCCTCCCTCCCCCGTCGGCATGCCGATCAGACCTGGCAACCCTAATCTGTCCCCAGCTGCCATCTTGAGGGCACACATTTGTTCCGATGCCTTACCTTTGTTCCCATGGAGATCGAAGTGATGGTAGCTGTGCTGCTGGCTTGGCTCAGGCCACTTCTCGGCCGGTCCCCTTCTGACATGGTCCCCACCTAATCCAATGCTAATCTGAAAAACAGCAAAGGATGCTGGGTATTAAAGCAATGCTTCAGGGGAGGCGGCAGCACCCGAACCCCTAGTTTGTGCTCAAGAGAAAGGTAGAGCACTAGCCTAGAACCTTTCCAGTTAGTTCCACACGACATCACAGGGTAGCTACTCTCAATTTTTATTTTGGTATTATTTTTGTCTTTATCCACATAAGAACATAAGAAGAGCCCTGCTGGATCAGACCAGTGGTCCATCTAGTCCAGCATGCTGTCACACACAGTGGCCAACCAGTTCCTCTGGAGGCCCAACAACAGGACTCTATGATGTTGCCTCTATGACGTTGCCTCCTGGCACCGGGATTCAGAGGTTGACTGCCTCTGAACTATCTCCTACCCATTCATTCTTCTGTCTGTGACTGTCTTTCCTGCCTCCTTCTCTTCTCTCACCAAAAGATGGCCAGGAAAATGTGTGAGACATCTGGGGACAGGTCTTTAGAGTTGCCAACTCCAGCTTGGGAAATTCCTAGAGGTTTGGAGGTGAAACCTAGGGAGGGTGGAGCGTGGGGAGGAGAAGGACCTGAGTGGCATATAATGCCACAAAGTCTAAACTCCAAAGCTGCCATTTTCTCTGGAGTCTCTGGAGATCTGTTGAAACCCTAGTTCTTGGCCAGGTTGTGGCTTGCAACCCACCAGCTGAAGAACAGCGATGTAGAGCACTTTGGAGGGAATCCATTCCTTCTCTTCCGAGAGGAGTCTCTCTACTGGAGGGAAACCTCTTTCCATCAGAGGAAGACGCCTCATTAGCAGGAGGGAGTCTATATATATAGGGCAAACCTCATGCTGGAGATAGTTAGGGAAGGGACTGAAAATAAAGCAACCGGTATTGCAACGCCCCTAGACAGATTTATGGTGTAGCCACATTTGGAATGCTGCATGCAGTTCTGGTTGCGTATCTCAAAAAAGATATTCCGGAGCTTGAAAAAGTTGTTGTTGTTCAGTCACACAGTAGAGTCCGACTCTTCGCGACCCCATGGACCAGATCCCGCCAGGCCTTCCTGTCTTCCGCTGTCCTCTGAAGTTTGCTCAATTTCATGTTCGTTGCGTCTATGACACTGTCTAACCATCTCATCCTTTGCCGTCCCTGTCTTCTTTGACCTTCAATCTTTCCCAGCATCAGGGTCTTCTCCAGTGAGTGCTCCCTTCTCATTTGGTGGCCAAAGTATTTGAGCTTCAGTTTCATTATGTGGCCTTCCAGGGAACAGTCAGGGTTGATTTCTTTTAGGATTGACTGATTTGATCTTCTTGCAGTCCAAGGGACTCTTGAAAAAGTACAGAAGGATTAAGGAGCGGGAACACCTTTGCTATACGGAAAGGCTAAAGAGTCTTGGGAGGGGCCAGTTTAGAGGAAAAAATACAACTAAGGGAGCGGGACATGAGAGAGGTTCATAATATTATGCACAGAGTGAAGAAAGTGGATCAAGAGAAGCTTTTCTCCCATAATATGAAAACTTCAGAACACCCAGTGATGCAGATGGTCAATAGAATCTGAACAGATTCTTCACTTGAGCAATTAAATTGTAGAATTCACAGCCAGTTAGGTTTGCCAGCCTCCAGGTGGGGCCTGGGGATCTCCCGCTTTTACAACTGATCTCCAGCTGACGGAGATCGGCTCCCCTGGAGAAAATGGCTGCTTTGAAGGGGGGACTCTGTGGCATTGGACCCGGCTGAGGCCCCTCCCCTCTCCAAACCCTGCCCTCTCCTGTCTACACCCCCAAAGTGTCCAGATATTTTCCAACCCAGACCTGGCAACCCCACAGCCAGTGGATGTACTGATGGCCACAAGTGCAGACGGCTTTAAAAGGAGACTAGACAGATTCATGCAAGAGAGGTTCACCACTGGTCTAAACCACGCAGGGCTCTTCTTCTATTGTTCTACATGCCCCTCCCCTTGTTTTTTTCTCCTCCTCCCATCTTCATGCCTTCTCTCACTGTGTATTCCAGTTCAGTTTCCTAATTCATCAGTCTCCATCCTCCTCTTCAAGATGACTCTTCAGAAGAGCCTTTGCTCTGATCTTATCCAACTTGTACAACTGTTGCCACTTGCCACCTGATTCTTTCCTACTAACCCATCATCACCCTACTCATGAGTCAGTCTATGATTTCTGCCTCTGCCTTGTCCATACAGTGAAGAAGAACAGAAACTAAGGGCACAGCAATACATATAACATCAATACAAAGTGAAATGCTGCATAAGTTCACACAAAGAAATTAATGCTGAAATCCAACTTCCATGTTGTTTATAATTCTTGTATTTCAACAGGTGGACATCATCCAGACACCAGAGTGTCGACAAGATGTACAGAACGGGACGAACTTCTCGAGTTTTGCCGTTCGTTTCAAGAACAATCTTTATCAAACTTCAATTTCTAGTGGTCCTTTCACAGTCTAATTCACCACTAGGGTATCCAAACATTCAGGAAGGCTTCTAACAGCTCTTATCACCAACCATTATTATTTCGCTATTTTGGGGCAGGAACGCACAGGAACGGAGTTCCGACTGGCTCCCAAGTTGGCCACGCCCAGCAGGAACTCATTAGCAAAATAGGCCACACCCAACAGCCGGAAATCATTAGGATTGGCTACATTAGGGGTGTGTGGCCTAACATGCAAAGGAGTTCCCGCTACAAAAAAAGGCCCTGGCTTTGACAACAAACAAGGTAAACAGAATATCAAGCAAAAGGTGGGTGTGGCTGGATAACCACACTTCTGGTAACATGGGGGTGTGGCCTAATGTGCTAATGAGCTGTGCTGTCAGGGGTGTGGCCCAATATGCTAATGAGTTCCTGCTGGGCTTTTTCTACAAAAAGAGCCCTGCAGTGAACACTCCAGGCAGTGCGACTTGACTTGTGTAGAGGATTGTGAACTGACCTCTCCAAGGAACCATACTGTGATCATGCAAGGAAAAAACTGAATGGCAGTACTTAAGGGTTTGTGCCAGGGGTCCCCAACCTTTTTGAGCCTGCGGTAGGGTTGCCAAGTTCATCTTCCACCCCCAGCGGGGGACTTTGGGGGCGTTCCTGGAGGGGGTGGGGGATCCCCGACATGATGACATCACGTTGGGGATGTCCACCGCCGCCCCCACCCGCCCATGCGCCAGATCTCCAGAAACGGCAGTTCCCTGCGCTTAAAGGAGCCGGCGTTTCCCTTTTAAATGCAGGAGCCGGCATTTCCCCTTTAAGAGCAGCTGCGTTTCCCTTTTAAGTGCACCAAACTGGCATTTCCCTGCAAGCCTGATCTCAAGCGGAGATCGGGCTTGGGAGGAA